TGCAGTCATTGTGCGCATCCAATTACAAATGGGTAAAAACCCCTACATGGGCCGAAGCCCAAACAAAGTTACAAATGGGCCCCAGAAGCCCTAAAATACAAAAGGGGGAAAAAGGCCCCTAGAAGTTGTCACATTTTATCTGCAGTTACAAATGTGTGCACTCAGATTATAAACAGGCAAAAAAAGCCAAATACTTACAGAAGTGTAGCCGATCAGTGAGGGGGGGGTCCCCCATTAATCCAGAGCAAGCCTTCAAATCTTGTAATCCACAAATGAGCCCCCAAACTTAAATTCAAAAAACGAGGCAAAAACATATTTTAAAAAGCAGCACTGATTTATTTTGTCCTGGGCCCAGTGATACAGTGCAGTTGGAGATTGCAAAAGCTGTGTGTTGCTCCTCTATACTTGCCACCTTTAAGTACCTATCACAATTCACTTTTTTTATTTAAAAGGAAGAAGAGAAAAAACAAAACAAAACAAAGCGGTGTAAGGGTACAAGTAATACAGAACTACAAAAAAAAAAAAAAACAGTAAGAAATCACCAGTTAATAGATTACATATTATCATCTTAGACATAGTTGCTCAAAGCATACAAAGTGGACATTCAAACAGTGAGACTGCAAACAGTTGTGTTCAATGATCTAACCAAAAACATTAATATGGTCAGTTATTTAACACACTTGCTGTTGTATCCTTTAGAGCTCTTTTTTCCCTCTCTTTTTTACAACAAAATTGACACATTTTGGGTTTTATTACTCCTTAGTTCTTATTACTTTTTGGGGGGGAGAGAATAAAATCAAATGTGGCAAAACAAAGCTGTCAGTCAAAAGCAAGGATAGACATAGCACATGATGTAAAACAGAGTACAAGGTTATCAACAATGGTTATCAACGTTGTCTTTTGTTTCCTTAAAAAGAATTGTCTATCTCATTAGATATTATAAAATTGGACAAAACAGTAGAGAACAAGACCAATAAAACTTAAGCATTGTAAACATTACAGGACTTCCAAAGGAGACAATAGTCAAACCAGAATGGGCATCTTAGTGAATCTTATTGCCTTCAAAGTAGTTGCCTATACCCTCAAACTTGATACTATCATACAGAATGGAACAGAGTCTAATCAGTCAAAACAGGATCATGGGAGTATTACAGGACTTCAAAACAAGTTAATAGGAAAGCAAAAAAAGTTACTATTATATATCCTGCTAATTTTTTGAATTTTTCCCCTTAATTAAAAAAAACATAGGAAATAACTAAATAATTTTTTAATGAATAAGGGAGAGATTGAGATAAAACAGGACATAACAATATAACAATACAGGTCAAAGCATGACTGTTTCAGCAACCTAGTTCTTCACTGCGAAATAACCCGACTTAATAGTAGTTACCATAGTGTCTGTCTTTTTCCTTGAAATATTTGAATAAAACCTCATATACTATAGCTTCAAATATTTCCATATCAAGAAGCCCAGAACAAAGCCTTTCCAATTAATAAGTGAAAAGTTTCTAAGGTTTCAAGGCCACATAATGGGGAATCATGATTACCACATATTTTTATATATTTGAATCATTACTTACATTAGGGAAACTATTCGGTATTCACACATGTGAAATTGATTTATTTCACTTATGAGTATGGTCTCATGTTGCACCCATTTATCAATAATGATACGTATCTCAATGTGATCCTTCTTTATAGCTGAATAATACTCCATTGTATAGAAATACCACAACTTTTTTATCCATTTCTCAGTTGATGGACACTTGGGTTGTTTCCAAGATCTGGCGATTACAAATTGTGCTGCTGTAAACATAGGTGCACATATATCACTGTGGCATGATGCTTTCAGTTCTTCTGGGAATATGCCTAGAAGTGGAATAGCTGGAATAAATGGGACTTCCTATCCCAGCTTTTTGGGAAGTCTCCAGACTAAACTCCACAAAGGCTGCACCAGTCTACACTCCCACCAACAGTGTTGGAGAGTTCCTTTTTCCGCACAGCCTCTCCAGCATTTGTTGTTGTTGGTTTTCTTGATCCTGGCCATTCTTTCAGGAGTGAGATGGTATCTCAGTGTGGTTTTAATTTGCATTTCTCTAATGACCAATGATGATGAACATTTTTTCATGCATTTATTTGTCATTTGCATTTCTCATCTGAGAAGTGTGTATTCATCTCAGATGCCCATTTTTGGATTGGATCATTGAATTTTGGGGGTCTGAGTTTTTTTAATTCTTTGTATGTTTTAGACAAGAGTCCCTTGTCTGAGAGCGAGTTCACTAAAATTTTTTCCCACTTTGTGGGACCTATCACAATTTACAAAGTAAGGGGTTCTGGGTGTGGATTGGGAAAATTGTTAATGAGGAAGACCTTTGTCTTCCTTAGGAGAAGACAGAGCAGTCTAGCAGTAACTAAACAACCCCTGTTACCTTATTTTAGCACCACATCTATTATTTCTGGAGGGCAACAATGGTTAACATATCAATTAGGTTAGGTTTTACAATTATTTACAGAAGGGAGCATTGATTAACATGTCAGTTAGGTCACCCATAGGGAAAGAAACACGCATATAGAACAATAGGCCACATTACAGGTATTTTGGTATAATACAAATATAATGAAGTTCTTTTTGCTAGTGTACAACAGACCCACTGCTCAAATGATACATTCATTGCCACAGTCACACACTCTCTACAGCCCTTGCATGCTTTTTCTCTGTAAGGGCACCACCAACCCCAGGATCCCTCCTCACATAAAGCTGAGTGCCCCCTTTAATCTGCCTGTACCCATCCAGCCAGCCAGCCATCAATTCTGCAGGATACTTGTCAGGGTCACCTCACCTCTACATTCGAGATTTGTTTAAGCCTAACTTGTTTTAGGTTCCCTGTTCCTACTCACAGCCAACCCGCCCCCCCAATCCTGCTGGGTCTCCACACACACCAACTCACAGATTCATACTCTCTCTGGCTCCCCAGACACCTACACAACAAAATGCAAGTTTCTTGCCCTGTTTTTGCAAGACTTGCCAGGCTCCTGTATCTCTTACCATTTTGCATTCAAATGCATGCCCCTTGTAGTCCCCCCCACCATGAATACCTGGATATTTCCAGCCTCCATTCCTTTTATTGTAAACACCCACTTTAATAGAATGCTTTTTCCTTTCCTAGGGGCCCCCATATTGTCCACTTCCCTACATCCTTTAAAACCCAGGCCAGCCTTCACTTTCTCTGAGGAAAATTCTCTGGCTATTATCCTCCCCTTATTCTGGCTTCTACCATGTCTGGCTTCTACCTTGTCATGGGGGTGTTTCTGGCCTCCTTTTAGTATTGTCTTGATCTGTTACACCCACAGACCTGTGACTGATATCCTTCAGCATTCCCAATCCCAGCCAACATAGGCCATGACACAGAGTTGGCGGCCAGTGAATCCTGACTGAATGAGCAGGTGATGTTCAGGGTTTGAAAGGTGGGTCTGCTCAAAGAGGAACTAGGATATGGATAGAGAGATCCTCATGGGATGGCATCAGGAGTCAAAGTTCAGCTATCAGGACTATTGGTTGTACTACTGAATGATTAAAACTATCTATTCCATCTGAACTTTTTCCTCTGAGCAATTGTGAACAAAGTAGTTAATGAAGTAGCAGACATTTGCTCTATGAACTAAATACAATCACATGGCAAAGACCAGGTTAAAGTCCCTGTTGCCACTTCCTGGTATCCTTAGCTCTTCTTCTGAGAGGGTGAACTAATTTCATTTCCCCCACCTGACAGGCTTGCCATACCTCTGAGCCTCTGTGCCTGCTGTTCCCTCTGTCTGCATGCCTTTCCCTTCACCATATCCACTGACATGGAAGCAAGCCTTACTCATTTTTCCCATAGTAGCTGAGAGACCAACTCCTTGAGGAAAAATGTCCTAAGACCTTCCTTTATGCATGTCACCACATAACTCCTATGGGTATAGACACAGCACATAAAACCTTTGATGTCTATAATGGCCCTGTGAATCTGGCTGCTTCAAAACCAGGAGATACCAGAGTGAGATTAGGAGCTGAGTCCAACTAATTTGTGAGTTTCCAGATTCAGTAGATACAAAACTGGGCTACAGTAGCTGTGCTGGATGGAGATGTGCCAATGTATGAATACATGAATGATGCCTGAACAGAGATCTAACTGAAGCACTAATTTAGGGCAGGTCAGAGAGGAGAACTGTGGCTGGGTGGAGGGGAGACACGAAGGAGGAGTTGTTTGAACAGAGATTAAGTTGGTGGAGGACATTGATCAGGGAAGGAGGATGAGGAAGACACTCTCAGGGCAGCAGGTAGTTGAGCAATGCTCATACCCAGATAAGAGGCAGGTTCTGGTGCTTGTGGAGGATGGTAGCTTGGGGTGGCCAGGGGATACTTTGTGTGCTGGGGGCAAGGAGAGGTGTGGTTGCAATGGTGGGCCAGGAGAGGTCTTCTCATGCTGTCACCACCCTTTTCATTAAGCAAGGGTCTTGAATCAGTACTTCACATGCCAGTACAGCACAGAAGCCCCACAGTCTTCACAAGTGTGTGTGCTGAGAACTGGAGGGCTCCCTGTTTAGGCAGATGGCTCCACTGAAGCAAAAGGAATTTTTAGGAAATGAGAGACAGCAAGAAAGCTCAGCAAAACACAAGAATATCATAGCTATAGAAAGCATGAGAGAGGAATTACTGGCCAATGGTTCCCTTTGAAAGAGGGCTGGTTCAGACTCAGCTATGGCTTGATTCAATTAAGGATGTGCTCATTTGGACCCTGACTCAATATCTGAAGTTCCAAGCCTCCAACCATGTTGAGTATGCATGTGATTCCCAAGATGGAAGACATGTGTCTCTACCCAACATGCTGCCTTTTTTCATTTGCTCTCTTTATCCCTAGGGAGCCTCTGATCCAATGGACAGCTTTATGGACCAGAGCATTGCCTAGGCTTGTCTGGCTGCAGAACTCAAAAGGCTCCTTCCTCATCTTGGGGCCCCTCACCTGCACATCTGCAATGTCCTCCGAAACCACATCACACTGCACCACGAAGTCAGCCATAATGCCTGAGCTGCAGAAGACAGACTGGTCTTGTAATTTTGGGCAGAAGGTGATGCAGACACAGGTCTCTCCCTTCACCATTCTGGTGGATGGGAGTGAGCTGGCATCCTGTGTATGGGTGGGGCAGATTGGGGCAGGGTGACATGGAGGGCTCAGCAGACACAGAAGACAGGGATAAGGACACAAAAAGGGGCAAAGTCTGAGGAGGGTGAAAAATTGTGTCTAGTAGTTCTTGCTTCTCCTGGCCCCACACTCTTCCACCTGCCCCAATGTTACACTCTTCTCCAAATCTTATAACCAGCTCCTGCTCTGCCTGATGTACCCTCCCCTGCCCACACCTCCCAGCACTAGCGGTCTGTCCCTCACTTGCAACCTCACTTCCCTTCCAACCTAGCCAGGTCCTTGGGAGACTGTCATGTCCCAAGGTCAACCACAACCCTAGGTCTTCTCCCAGAGAGGCAATGTGTGTATGTTAGGACAGACACAGGCACACAGACAGGGCCTGGGCCTCCTCCCATTTCCCTTCCTACTATGGGAAACAGCAGTCTAACAAGGCTCTGATCTGAGGTAGAATTTCATGTTTTCTTTCCCCTCTGCCTCCAACTCCCAGCATCACGTATGTGAATAAGCCTTTTAGTGTCTCATGACATCACTGATGAATTACTGATCCCAGATGTTTGCTGAGCCGGCCACAAGATCAACTCCTCTGGAATTTTAGTCCAAGACAAGTGTCCATTTAGAAATGTCTCTGTGCCTCCTTCTTTCCATAAAATGGAGGCTTGGGAATTCTTGCTGTCCTCCCTCCCCACTGCAGCTGTCAGGAAGCTTAGGGGCAAACTGAGCCCCCATACTCTCTGAGGTGCCTAATCACATACATTCCCTAGGCTTCCTTCCTTTCAGAGCTCTTTGTTCTGTTTTATTCCCTCAGGAATGGTTCTACCCTCTGTTTTAACCTTTAAGGAGAAGGGGGAAGGGAGCTGCCATTTATAGCCCAGGGCTTAAGAGTGCAGGCTGCATGACTCAGATGGCCTGTGGCCTCAGGTCCCTGCTGCAGCTCCAAGTCCCTGGACAAGTTATTCCCTGTCTCTGAGCCTCAAGCTCCTCTTCTGTAGGGCAGTTTTGGTAACAACTCCTAGTTCAGAGACAGTGTTTGTGAGGATTAAATAAGCATTTGCAACTGTGCCTACATCCCTGTGAGTGCTAAATAACACTAAATCTAACTGACATGTTCTAACATTCATTAGTCTGTACCAAATAATTTGAAGGGAGAAGCACTTTCAAATTCTTGGACCATTGATGGACTCTCTCGTATTTTACAGATGGGGAAAGAGAAGCAGCATGCCGAGGTTACTTGTTGGGATAATTCCAGCAGAGTGTCAAAGCTGGAATTTGAACCCAGAATGAGTGTCTTTTCCTCTCCAGTTGCTTCTCTTGGTCAGCAGAGGCAAACTAGGCAGGACCTCCTATGCCAAACAGCTGTGTGTGTGTAATCACATGTGCTGGGGGCTTTCCTTCTGCCTCTCCATTCATCTCTCAGATGAGATGTATGGCTTGGTTCAGTGCTTTTCTAGCCTGGCTGGACTTTCAGGTTCACTTGAGACCAGTTGGACATGCAGATTCCCAGGCTCCACCTTGACTTCCTCAAACAGGCTCTAGAGGAATGAAGTCCAGGAATCTGTGCTCCTAAACCTCTGGTAGTGGTTCTGATGTAGCCAGTCTGGCTTTCACCATTCTGTTGGTCTCTGAGCTGGCAGGATCTCTTTTGTTAGGGGCACCATCTCTTTGGTGTTAGAGGGCATTGTGTCTTGGCTCTAGCTGATTCCTGCTGAGAAGGGGGCATTGCTGGGGCCTAGGGTGAAGGAGAATGTGACTGAAGGATCCCTTAAGTCCATGTCTGTGAGGTAGTGATTTTGCTCAGTAGTAGGATTTCTTTGGTAGTGAACACCTGTATTGTTGCTTGGTTAAACTGTGAGAGGAACTTGAAGGCACAGTGGACAAAATGCAAGAAATTATTATAGTAATTAGTGAACCCATAATGGGCATTAAAATGGGGGCCCATTTGTCTAGGGAGCCCCACCATGATGACCACGAGGTAGGTATTGAAAGGTAGTGTCTGCTTTGTATATTGTTTGCCATTTATTTTTTAATTTTGTACCTCGCCTTTACTATACCCAACTGGTTAACAAAATAGCAGCATTCTTTTCCCAACATGGCATAATATCCCCCTTTTTCTGCTGTGAATATACTGAGTGCCCTTCCTTGTTGGAGAACTACAATGGCCAATGAGTTTATTTGATCTTGGAGTGGATTAATATTTTGGGAGACTGATCACGTGATATCTGATACTAGCATGTGAGGCTGGTTTTTAATCTCCTTGGTCCAAGACTGATGGCTGAATATATACTTATCCCAGTCACAATAGGTGCTATGACCACTCTATGTGTGATAGTGTAATGAGGTAGGCCTTGTAGATGTTGGTGTAGGGTTTGTGAGTGAGTATTTAAAGTGACCTGTGGTGTTATTGCAGCCATGTGTATGATCCCTACCACAGGAAGGGAAGACACATGTAGGACCTATGTCGACAGACAAAAAATTATCTTGAGGTACAGGTGGTTGGCCTTTTTGTGTCAATCGTATGTATGTTTTGTAGGAAGTTAGGATTTTTTTTACCTAAAGAACATTTTGTGTGTTGTCAGGTTTGAATATATAAGTTATATCTATAGGCCATAGTTGTGATGGGGCAATTGTAAGTGGTCCCACAATTTTGGTTTGAGGTTTATTTTGGAATAGAGATTTGTTTAGTTTTTAAAATTTTATTTAAAGAGAAAAGAGCAAAACAAAAAGAAATTGGTTTAGTTTAATCAGAGAGGTCATATGAAGATTTTGATGATAGGGTAGACATAGCCAGCAGCTAGTGTCTGAGATATCTGAAGCATATAAAAGTTGAAAAATGTTGTTTAAAAGTTGAGGTATGGGAAGAGTTGTGAAATGTGTGTCTCTTAAGAGTGGGGAAGGTGTTAAGAGTTGAGATGTGAGGGGCTGGAGGTTTAGCTCAGTGACTTATGTGCTTGCCTGGCAAGTTCAAGGTCATTATTGTCCAAAATAGAAGATTATTATATCTTATGGATTCACATTTCCAGTAGGAACAATAAAAAATGGAATGGTCAAAACATGGTGTATAGTTTGGATTTTTAGGGCAGAGGTAAAAGTGAGGATCATAGGTTGCATACTTAAGTTGTTCATTATGGTAATCTTTAATAAGGAGCACACTCCAAGGGAAACCCCATATTGAAGGTCTTGACATCTAATTGGCTTGAGTAATACTTGTGTGAGAAGGACTCACTGTTGCCTCATGTTTAGTCAGGTAGAATTAGTATTTTTTTTTTGTCTTTTTCTTTTTTATCAGTACTAGGGATCGAACTCACGACCACACACTTGCAAGGCAGGCACTTATGCCGCTGAGCTAAATCCCAGTACCTAGAATTGGTATTTTGGGGTGTCTGAGTGTTGTAGGGTCAAGTGAAGGAATAGATTGACGTAGAGGAGTAAGCCTATCATGTTGAGGAATGTAAACAGTAATATTATTAATATGAAGAGTGTGATAACTGTAAGCCTTTGGAGAATGCTGTATTTTGGGGTGTAGAGTGTTAGAGCACCTGTGAGGAAAAGGCCAAACCAGGTAGGGTAGCAAAGCATTAGCATTTGTGTTGTGTCAATCTGAGATGGAAGTCCCTTCAAAGTGTTAGGAATGAGATTACTGGGCAGCAGATTATACCTCTTTGTTTGGGTAATGTGGAAGCAGCCTGGGAATCTCTCTAGCTTTACTGCAGTTGGAGTCTCAAGGTACACCAGGTAAGATCCATTTTACTTAGGTTGAAGAGGTGAAGTTGAACCTGTGGGCTTAAGAATGTTAATGTAGCTGGGAATTTAGCTTAGGGGAGTAAGTGCCTGCCTTGCAAGTGTGCAGCTGTGAGTTTGATCCCCAGTACTGCCAAAAAAAAAAAAAAAAAGAATGTTAATATAAATTAGCTCTCCTAGAGGCAAAGGAGGAGTTGGTGTGTGTTCCCCAGAGGACTGAGGCAGGCAAAGATCTGCATATTATTGAAGAAAGTGACAGAGAAGTGACAGAACCAGAATGTAGACAGCTAAGGGAGGAAGATTCGAAGGTGAAGGCAAGTTTTATAAGACAAACAGTCTACCATATATTGCTGTACCCTAGCAAAAAAAGCTTTGTTATGTCAAAGTACCTGTAATGCAGCCTACTGTTCTGTATGCGTTTTTTCTTCTGGATGACCTAACTGATATGTTAATCAACGCTCCCCTCTATAAAGAATTGTAAATCCCTGAGAATCTTACCTAATTGATATGTTAACCATTGTTGCCCTCTACAAATAACAGATGTGGTGCTAAAATAAGTTGACAAAGAATTGTTAATTAGTGCTAGACTACTCTATCCTCTGCTAAGGAAAACAAAGGTTTTTCTCATTTCCTCAGCAGATTTCCTGATCCATGCCCATAACTCCTTACTTTGTAAACTGTGATATATACATAAAAGCTGCAAGTATGGAGGAGCGACGCATAGCTTTTGCAAATTGCAACTGCACTGTGTGCTGGGTCCAGGATAAAATAAATCAGCACGGCTTTTTTAAAAAACAAGTTTTACCCTATTTTTGAAACTCGAGGTTGGGGCTGGGGATCATTTTGGGCTATAACATATATGGCATATGTGGGATTGGAGGAGTCTCATACTGTAAGATCAATGAGGGAGGAGGGAAGGTGAGGGGCTGAGTCAGTGACATATGATTATTGGGATTGAAGTATGAGAGCCATGGGGAGAGAGTATAAGAGAAATTGAGTTTTTGGAGTAGAATTTTTTATCAAAAAGAGGTACAGGACAGGTTAGGATGATAAGACAGCTGTTTTTAAAGAAAGGGTTTGGAATCTGCAGGGAGTAGGATTTTTTTTTCTGTGGTGGTCATGTACATTGGCTGTCAACTCCCACAACGGAGACTGCAGACCAGAAACATCAGCCTTAAAACTCAGGAAGAATATCATGGGTGGCTTACATATCAACAAGAAAAGAGAAGGTTTTATCTGAGATGTCCAGTGAGACTCAGAGCTCTGAGGGAGATAACCTTTGTGAGGCCAAGGGCCCCAAACCCCATCAATCCTCTTCAGCAGTGATGCCAAGCAGATCAGTGGTGATGAGTCCAGGACATCAGTGTCCTGTCCGATGAGGGCAGGGAAGATGGTGATTACCCACTCTCTGGTGAACATGGCAATCCAGTGGTCCTCTTGGTTGCAGATGGAACTGGTTCCCAGTCGTGGCTGCAGGTCAGGGAAAACTCATGTCCAGTGTTGTTTTTCTGCTGCACTTGAAGCATGATGGGGGGGAGGGGCTCGAGTTTTTAGATAATTTTTTCTTCAGCCTGTGTTTTATCTCAAGCCCCAAGTGCCACAGCTTCAGCTGCTGTGGCCACAAATTGATCTTGGAGTTTTAGCCTGGAATGTAACTTTTTTTATGGTTGTCTTGGAATGTAACCTTTTAAAAGTCATCCTATTTTTTTTGTTTTTGTCTATTGTTGAAGACATGGAAAGCCATAAGTAAGAGATCTCCCTGGGGAGATTGAGGACCAAGGTCTGACGTTTTGAATGTAGTCTGAATGTTTGGTGCTGTTTGGGAAATAAAATAGGAGTTTAGGAGCATGAGATTGAGTATGATGGACAGGGGGAGAGAGAAGAGAGGGCAGAGTTGGGTAAACAGAGGAGAAACTTACAGTGCTGTTGTCCTCTGAGAGTAACTTTGAGATGAGGAGGAGAAGGAAGATGATGGGGCCTCCACATTACTTATGGTGATAGAGGGGTGGAACTATTTCATGTATTAGGCCTGAGAAATAAGAAGGGGAAGAGTCATGGTGTTAAGCTGATAAAGGAGGAGGATCTGTGAAGGGAGTTAAAAGAATTTGGGAGGATTTACAGGTTTGGGTTAGATCAGGGTAAGCCCACAGCTGGACATAAGGTATTTACCCCCACTTGCCATTTCAGTAGTAAAGCTTATGTAAATCTCGTAATGTTAGCCTCGTTGGCCTGAGAGTTTGTTTTAGCCCAAGTGTATCTAAGTGCAGCCCAGAGGAGTGGTTTCATCAGGTAATGATTGATTATTACCTGTGCATTCAAATCAGAAAAGTGAGCCAGGAGTTGGAAGGGTCATGAGTCAGTGAAGAAATTTTACTCTCCAGTGAGGCACAACCAGTAGTAGTACCTTAATGGAGTAGAGTAGTCCCAGCAATGAATTCTCTAGTCATCACCAAAGACAAAGGATAACTCCTGAAAGACATATAGATCCTGAAGGAGTAGAGGTCCCAAAGGAGTAGAGAGGAGTAGAGGGATCCTGGAATTGACAGGATGGAGACCAGCATTGGATGTTGGCTAGAAACAGCAAGTTGGAGGTGTCCGTAGTCCCAGAGAGAGAGAGAGAGAGAGAGAGAGAGAGAGAGAGAGAGAGAGAAGCAGAAAGAAAAGTTCTATAGGGTGGGGGGCTCAGACCAGGGGACAGACCCCAACCACTGGAGTCACAGCAGTAACTGATTGAGTGAACACTTTGTACTTAATCTAGAGCAGTGCAGAATATTAAAAGAGAGGAGACAACTAGGAAAGAAAAGAGTTTAATGGGGGTGCATGGAGGGAGTCACAACAGAGAAGGCTGTAGTGGCTCTCTACACACAAAGAGCAAGTTCTGCCTCATATAGGCTTTGATGGGGGTAAGGCTCTGGGGACTGATGTGAACTGATTTGTTTTGTGAGAGTTCAGGGAACTAAGTAAACCTTTACATGCTTGAGGTTTGGCAGACTTTTGGGAGAGAGACGCTAGAGGGTCTTGCGGGAAGAAGGAGTTATGCCTTATCATGGCACAGGTTTGAACTGTCACCATGCTGATTCTGCTGTCTGTCAGATGGGAGGATCTAACACCTTCACCAAAAATTATTCTTTTTAATGAGAAAAATGAGAAAACTAGGCTATGAATTGTTATATAACTTGTCAGTGGGTGACAGCCTTCAAATTGGACTAATATTGGACTTATATTGTCTTCATTTCCAATCTTTCCTGTTTTTAATAACTGAAAAGAGCAATCTGATAAAAGCCATCTATGACAAACCAATGGCCATGTCATATTAAATGACCAAAAACTGAAAGTTTTTACTCTAAAACCAGGAACAAGACAAAGCTGTCCACTATCATCACTTCTATGCAATATAGTGCTGAAATATTAGCCAGTGCAATTAGCCAAGAAAGAGAAATAAAAGGAATAAGGTAGGAAAGGAAGAAGTTGAATTATCACTATTTGCATATGACATGATATACTACATAAAATGCCCCCAAAACTCCATTGAAAGTCTGCTACACATGATAACCAAATTTTGTAATGTAGCTGGATACAAAATCAATACTCAAAAATCAATTGGATTGCTGTAGACAAGCAATAAACTCACTGAGAGAAAATAAGAAAAACCATACCCTTCACACTAGCATCCAAGAAAATGAAATAGGAATCAATCTAACAAAATAAGTAAAAAAAACTATAAAGTGAAAATTGCAGTACTCTGAAAAAAGAAATCAAAGATGCTCTCAGAAATTGGAAAGACATTCCTTGTACATAGATAGGAAGAACAAATATTGTGAAAATGACCATTTTCCCAAAATTGCTATACAGATTTAATGCAATTCCAATCAAAACACAATTTAGCATACCTCACAAATCTAGAGAAATCATTCCTAAAATTTGTCTGAAACCTGAAGAGTCCTAGAATAGAAAAGGCAATTCTGAACACCAAAGGCAAGGCAGGAGGCATCACAGACCCTGACTTGAAGTTGTACTACAAATTTACTACAATAAAATCAGTGTGGTACTGGAATTAAGACAAACCTAAAGTAAATGGAATAGACTAGAAGATACAACCACAACTACAAACACACTCAGTCACACTCATGTTTGCAAAGGAGCCAAACATGTTCACTGCAAGAAAGATAGCCTCTTTAATATGTGGTGCTGGAAAAAACTGCCTTTCTATATGCTTAAAACTAAAACTAGACCCACGCCTATCACCATGCACTAAAGTAAAGTCAAAATGGATCAAATATCTAAATATTAAAACAGAAAAACTAAATCTGCTGGAAGACAAAGTAGGTAGCAATCTTGAAGACATAGGAGTCAGTTCTGTGTTCATGAAGAAAAATCAAACTTCCTGGGAAATACTTCCTAGAATCAACAACTGGGATCTCATAATATTAAAAAGCTTTTGCATGTCAAAAGAAGTCTCCAACAGATTGAAAAGAAAACCCATGAACTGGGAAAAAACTTAGTAAATTGTCCCTTAGACAAAGGAAATCTATCTAGAACACATAAAGAATTAACAAAAATCAGGGTCTCAAAATTCAAAGGCCCAATCCTAAAATGGGCATCTGAGATGGATATACACTTCCCAGATGAAGAAATGCAAATGACAAATAAATACATACAAAAGTATTCAGCATCATTTTTCATTAGAGAAATGCAAATTGCAACAGCAACACTGAGATTCCATCTCACTCCAGAATGAATGGTCAAGTTCAAGAAAACTACCAATGACAAACGCTGGAGAAGCTGTGGGTAAAAAGAACAATTTTCTGCACTATTGGTGGGAGTGTAGATTAGTGCAAACATTGTGGAAATCAGTGTGGAGTTTCCTCAAAAAGTTGAGGTTGGAGGTCCCACTTGACCCAGTTATTCCACTTCTGGTAATATTCCCAGAGGAATTGAAAACATCATAGCACAGTGATATATGTGCATCCAAGTTTTTAGCAGCACAATTTGTAATAGCTAAATCTTGGAAACAACCCAAATGTCCATTAACGAGGAATTGATAAAAATATGTGATTTTTTATGCAATTGAGTACTACTCAGGTATAACAAAGGATCACATTGAGGCTTTTATAGGTAACTGGATGTGACTTGAGACCATACCCATAAGTGAAATAAATCCATTGCTGATTTCATACTGTCATGCTGTGAAATATAGTAATGCTTTTACTCTTTGCTAGAGTGGTTTTAGTCTGTTTTGTATTGTTTAATTTCAACATACATGAAGGTACGGACAGCTATTTTGAAGAGAACAAGAAACATTACAGTAGCCATTGTTGATTTTCCTATTGTCTGGTTTTGAAGGCCTGTAATTCCTTCATTACTGTGTTCTGATCAGCTTAATACTATTTTGTTTTGTATAAATTCATTATGTGTGAAGATATAGACAACTATTTAGAAGAAAACAAGAGACATTATGGTAGCCACTGTGGATCTTCTGTTGTCTTATTTCGAAATCTATGTCACTTACATTGTTTTTTTCTGATCTGCTTTGTTCTGATTTGTTTTATCCTCCTTTAAAATAAAATAAAAAAGTAAAAAGTAAGTGAAATAAATCAAACTCACATGTATAAATACCACATTTTCTCCCTCGTGTAAGAATTTGAAAGAGTAAAGAAGATACAAAATCTTCAGTAAGTATTGTGAAGGGATAGTACACTGCTTAAAGTGAAAAATAACTCAGATAGGAAAAAGGAGAGGAGAAGGATGGGAAAAGAAAAAAGTTATACATTTGTATATATACACTTAAAATAGCTAAGATGATTGTACTACTAATTCTATTAGTTCTTGGAAAAAATAGTTAACATTCATAGGATTAGATCAATTTTGCAGGTAAATATATCTGGTAATATGAGTAACTCTTTATGATAACTATGTAAAATAACAACCTTTGTTATGTTCCTACCACCTTGTTTTGAAAGCCTAAATTGTTATTGTTTTGGGAGTTATGTTGTTTTTATTTATTTTTCTCTTTTGTTTCTTGTTTTTCTTACATTTTTGTTTTGATTTGTTTTTCCTCTAATATAGAAAGGACCAATGTATATTTATAGGTTTATACATGCCTAGAATTTCTTCTAAGTAGTTTACAAGAATCTATTTTATTATGTGTTATTGTATGAACAGCTATTTTGAAGAAAACAAGACATTATGGTAGCCATTGCTGATTTCCTATTGTCTTGTTATGAAGTCTTATAATGCTTTTGTTCTTTGTTTTGATTTGTTTTAGTCTGCTTTCTATTATTTGACTTCAGTAAGTGTGAGGGTATGGACAGCTATTTTGAAGAAAACAAGAGACATGGTAGCCATTGTTGATTTCCTATTGTCTGGTTTTGAAGTCCCGTAATGCTTTTGTTCTTTTGCTTTGATTAGTTTTGTAATATTTCATTTTGTTTGAATTTATTGTGTGTGAAGGTATGGACAACTATTTCTTAGAAAACAAGAGGCATTATGTAGCTATTGTTGATTTCCTGTTGTTTTGAAGTCCTGTGTTATTTCCATTGTTCTATTATGTTTTGTTCTGATCTGCTTTGTTTTGTTTTATTCTCTTTAAAATAAAAATAAATAAGTTGGAAAGAACTTATCAGTGGGTACAAAATAAAAATAGCCCTAGAGATATGCTTAGTTTAACAGAAAATGTTCCTATTCAGTGAAAGCCAGTATGCTGGTGGATCCCAAGTACTGCTCATGTACTTCAGCTTTCTTGTGTGCACAAATGACTGGCCCTCAGCAGTGGAATATGCACACAGGTGATGCCTCTCCTTCCTGATATGGTGAACTCTAAACTCAGCTTTCTTGCTAATTGACAAGCTATTACTGGCCTTGTTGCTAGTGCAACAGTTCTTCACAGGCTTGAGTAAAAGTCACCTCTGTGGTTGCTGCCAGTTTGATGGAGATGTGGAATTTCTCTGATTTCTGGTCCCTGGGCAGGAAAAAAGAAGGTTAGGAAGGTAATGGGGTTTCCTGAGGATTAGTGGACTTGCCAGTTGACCCATTATTTAATTGGTTATTCTCATCCATTCCCTCAACCCAGTAGACCTGGACAGACTTTTAGTTCACTTTTGTCTCTGGCCTACAGATAGTCATTCAGGCAGCTGCTCATCAATCTGCCTCCCAGTCTTGTTCCTTCTTCTAAAAACCCTGCCTGAGAAATTATGTCAAAGATAGCTCTTTCTTATGAAAACTCAGTTTATAAAAATCTGAATGTGGAACCAATGAGAGCTAATGCTTTGTTTTTTAAAAAACTTCAATTTTAATTTACACACAATGCTTCTTCCTCCCCAAGTTGCCCTTCATTCCCATCTCTATGCCCATGTTTCATACTGAGTTTGTTAATATGGCATTAACTCAGTTTTTAGTACAAAATATAAAATTTTGCCTGTAGAATAAAACTTTCTTGAAAGCTGGGAGGAAACACTAAAAGAAGAGTATGTATTTCTACTAGATGAATGGAACTCAGTTTAAACCACGGTTCAATTTAGAAAAATCCCTTTTACATCTACTCTTCCTGGTGGGTGTCACTTCTTAAACCAGCCACATCCTGCAATAAAGAAAAAATGAAAATGGAGAGGTACACTTCTATTTTTAAATGCCTACTGTGTTATGGGCTTCACTATTCATTATCTTACATAGTCTTCATGTAGAAATCATTATTTATAAAAGTACCGACTGAGGTCCAGAGAAAACATATGTCTCCCCTGATCATACAGCTAAAAAGCCTTAGTCATATTTCAGGCTGGATAGAACCTTACCTGATGCCTACATAAACAGCTGTCTTTCCTAGGTAGTGGGTTTCCACATAGGTTTTCTCTGGCTGGTGCTTCTCTTTGATTTCCACAATATAGACTTTATTGTTGATGATCCTGATGGAGCAGGAAAGAGAAGGGACAGCAGATCCACAGAAAGAAAAATAAAGAAAATTAAAGGCATAGAAAAACATAGACATACAAAACAGGAAGAGGATGAGGTGGGGAATGAAGAAAAAGAAAACAAAATAGTGCCATAAGGCCAAAATTTGAGTAGGAAGGAGAGGAGAGAAAGATAAAGTTTTATTAAGTGGGAAAGATTTATTAAATGGGGAAATAGAAATCACACTGTATATGGTGGACTGGTGTTACAGTTTTGTGTTTCTCAAAAAGGTTGAATTTATTTTACTTTTCTTTTTACTTTCTGAGCCAGTGGTCTTAATAAACAGTTCACGATGGCCTTCAGTTCACTTTATAGCCCAGGCTGGTCTCAAACTTGCAATGATCCTCCTGCCTCAGGCTCCTGAGTGCTGGGATTGCAGGCCTGCATCACTACACACATAGAATTTTGCTTTTTCATATGAAAACTTTTTAGATGCATCATTATTGAACATTTTAATTATAAATTGTTACACAGTTACAATAACATGCATTTTAAAACATAACATATTGAATATAAGAGCTCACAGATATTATTGTCTAGGATAAGACTAACAATCTTCAGCAGTGTTTCTAATTTAAAGAAAATGTACTAAGTGAGGGTGTGCACATAATAAAAGTTGCTAGAGTGGTGTGTGTGCATTACTGTGAGCACTACTGGGCTTGACTAGTGAAGGAGCTTTTTTCTGATGGAGTTCAGAGATGACTGACTTACAGATTTGCTTGCCTCCATTTGTCCTGTTTTTCTAGGAAAAGCAATAAAATGTAAAGGAATTTAAAGAAAGGATTGAACACTTTTGTCCAAATTTTCAGGAAAGGGACTGTAGAAAATGACTTTAAGCCTAGGCCTGAGAAAAAGGAGGATTCAGACAAATAATCTTCACTGGTTATGCCTTCTAAGTCTCCTCTGCTCTCTCTTTTACTTCCTGACATCTAAATCTGTGGACGATTCTGAAGCGCTGTTCTCTCCCCTTTCCTGTCTTTCTGTCCTCCAGTTCTTTATGCATTCACTTTCTAAGTCATATCCCATAGACTTACATACTATTTATACACAGATAACTCTTAAACCTGTATCTCAAACACAGATCTGTCCCCTGAACTACAGAACTATATATCCAACTGCTTACTTGAAGATTCCATTAGAATATCCAATTAACATCTCAAGCTTAACTATCCAAAACTCAGATTGTGGAGTCTTTTCCCAAGACTGCTCTCCCCTGGTATTTGTCTCAAGAAATAGTTTCTCTGCTAAAATCATATTCATGTTTTCCTCAGCTCTTCCTTTGACACTCTATATCCAATCCATCAGGGATTTTCAATTTCATTTATAGATGTAGCCACAATCTGACCACTTTTCACCACTCCCACAATTATTGCCATTATTCAAACTACCAACATCACTTGCTTGAGAAAATAAAATAACCAATGAACTGGTCTCTTTTTTTAAACTCTTGCTTTTCAGAGTCTGTTCTTCTATCAGCAATAAGAGATCTTATTAATCCTTAAGCAGGCCATGTGTTTCCGCTGCTCAATACTACCTGTGGTTTCCATCTCAACTCAGAATAAAAGCCAAACTCCTCACCAGGTTTCCTATGAACCTACACAATCAGGGTCACTGTCAGCTCTCTTCCACTCTTCTCATCACTCATTCTGTTCCAGCCACACTGTCCTCCTTATTATTTTCTATAAAATTAAAGTTACATTTATTGCTAATGGATAAATAAAAACATAAAAGTTGTGACAGCAGAAAAATAGCTGAGCAGTGAGTGGCAGCAATGCAGCTTCTCCAGGGCAAAGTGTCTAGAGTGTGGAAAACAATAATTTGGAGAGTAATCAAAGTGACAGAAGAGTACATGGGAGCTACAAGGGAACTGACAGAGGAGAAAAAATAGGATTAAGTGACATAGAAGAGGTGGACCACACTGCACAAGAGAGATCATGGAATCACTGCCAGCAGCTGGGAGACAAAGTGAAACTAACAACTTTTCTGCTCACAGAGAATGGAGAGCTATCTTGGGATCAGGAGGATCATATGCAGTTGGAGACAGCAAAATGAATGCTTCTCAAAAAGCCCTTGAGAGTCAATAGTTGCTGAGTGACTACAGTACAAACTCCTGTGGACACAGTCATGCAGAGCACAAGATAGTAGGAAATAGCATTGTAGAGAAGGGCTGGGTGTTTGAACATGGGTTCTAAAACAGCCATTTGACTGCTTCACACTGCCAAGTTTCCCAAGTGGATGAGGAAAGGACAGTTACAGGAGACTACTAGCATTTGGAGAGTAAACTGGGGGGAATACCCCTGAAAATCAGGGACTGGTGATCACAAACTTGATTCTGGCAGTGAGAGGCCAATTTCAACTTGAGTTACACTGGCTTGGATGCTCACATTGACACAGTGTTCCTTCTGCCAAAGGGAAATCTAAAACAAAGTCTTATGGCATGTTACTTCTCAACTAGCCCTGACAGATACCACTGTAACATATTAACCTGTGTCTGCTGTAGTTGAATTGATTCCATAGGAATAATCCTGGATCACTGGACAAGTTAGTACCAGTGAACTTGTCTGCTGAATCCACCACCACACTCAGAGAAAGGGACAGCAAACATTCCTAACTGAAGACCTTGGACTGGATCAGACTTTGCAAAAATGCCTGCATCCTGACAGAAAGAGGTCCTGAGTCTGAATTAACTTCAGTATTGTGGTGGAGGGATCAGAGACATAATTGGAGTATAAGCACACAGACTCTTTGGCAAGAAGCTTTCTTGTAATCACACAGGCAGTGTCTCATTGAAATATCTAATCTTTCTGTTCTCATCTTATTGGTTTAAGTTTTTGCATGTTTCTTTTATTTTTTTTATTTTTTTTGGTCTTTTTCCTTTTTACCGGTACCAGGGATCGAACTCACGACTGCCTGCTTTCAAGGCAGGTGCTTATGCCGCTGAGCTAAACCCCCAGCCCCTTTGCATGTTTCTTGAGCTATTTTGTAACACGAGTTATTTATGTTCTTATATGGTTTCATGTATTTATTAGATTATCACTTCTGTGTAACTGTTCTTTCATTGGCTCTGATTAGGCATCCAGTTTCTCTCCCTTGTCTCAGCTCTTTATGTAGTTTCTTCATTTGAGTTATTTAGTAACATGGGTTGTATTATATTCTCTTATGGTTTCATGTATTTATTAGATTGTGACTCATATATTCTTTTATTGGCTCTGATTTATTAGGTGTTTAGGTTCTCTCCCTCATCTCAATTTTTTATCTAGTTACTTCACCTCAACCTCCTGGAATATTGTAAGAATTATTAACATATTTCTTTATTCTTTTTTCAAATACATAAACTCCTTCTCCAAAGTTTTTAAATTTACAACACTTAACTTCCCAACAATCAATCGTATCTTCACTAGTATAATTCCTTGATCCTCCCCATGCTAAGTGTTTGGTTTCTTCATATATTACCTAACTTATTGTCCTCTTTATAAGCAAGTTTTGATATCACATCACTTTCCTCAATCACAAACTGAACTCTTTTTTCTCTCATATCATACCCTTACCCCCACAAAATAGTCTCTAAAAAGTCTCAAGACTAAACCTTCAGATAAACTAAAAGTAGTCCAATAGAATCCTTAAAGAAAATAACAGAAAGAGTAAATACCAGCACTGGACATACAAAAGCTGAAAATTATTCATGGAAAAGCAACATCTCACTAAAAATCTCCATATAAGCCAGAGGAATAATATCTAGAATATGCAAAGAACTCAAGAAAATTAAACCATGTAAAATTAAAGATCCAGTCAAAAATATGGATAAGTTAAATGAGCACACACCTCACGGTGGAAGAAATACAAATGGTCAGCAAATATATGAAAAAGAGTTCAACATCTCTGGGCATTAGAGAAATGCAAATTAAAACCACGCTAAGATTTCATCTCACTCTAGAAAAATAGCAATCATTAGGAAATCCAACAATAACAAATGAATGGCATGGCTGTGGTAAAAAAGGAACTCTCTTGCATTGTTGATATGAATGTAAACTATTACAACCATTATCAAAATTATGCAGATTTCTCAAAACCTGAAATTAGGAATTCCATGTGACCCAGGTATAGCCTTGCTAGGATCCCCAAAGAAATTAAGTTATCATACTACTATAATACATGCATACTAATGTTTATAACAACACAACTCATAATAGCTAAACCCTGAAAGCAGCTTGAATACCCATCAACAACAATTGGATAAAGAAAATGTGGTATTCCTATATAATGGGGTACTACTCAGCTATAAAGAATGATACACTTGAGACATTTATAGGAAAATGGATGCACCTGGAAAATACAATGTTAAGTGAAGTAAACCAGACACAGAAACTTAAATACCATATGGTACCTTTCATTTGAGTGAGGCAAAATAAAAACAAAGAAGATGACAAAGGATGAATAGAAAGTGACAAAGTTAATCCTCTTTTAGAATAAGAAAGTGGTCCAAGGGAGCAAGAGTGAGAGAGGAGGAGAAGGGGAAGTGGAAATCAGAGGAATAAAGATGCACCATGTACAGGAACCTAATAACTGTAATGTAAGCAGTATATGCCATAATATGAGCTAAGATGAATAATATTAAGAAGTACAAAAGAAAAGAAAGGGAAAATGGAGGGGGAGAGAAGAGAGTTAGGGAAAGGGAAGGGGATTTAAAAAAAGAAATAAACTGTAATATGTACATGTAATCACTATGCCAAGATGACTATAAACTGCACAAATTGAAAATATGTACTAATAACATTTTTAAAATTATAAACAAAATATAAAAATTCTATATATGATGGGTATCATATAATGTTTGGTACATGTGTACCTTGTGTATTTAAATTAGATGAAATATATTTACAAAACATTTATCATGTTTTTCCTTTTTCTATTTTGAAGAGAATAAAACCAAGCAAAATGAAACAGAATAGAGTCA